TTAAGTTCAGCTTGGAGACCATTCCGAAATAGGAAAGCTTAAAAAGGGCCACCAAAAACAAAGGGTCTCTTTTTGACAAAACTACATGTTGTTTTTAAACTTTTTTACATGATTGTGATGTATTGTATAACACTGAAACTACATTTGATATGAATGACCGAAAGTTGAAAAGTAAATCAATGTGAATTGTATTTATAAGTATCTGAACCAGATATAAAGGGGGGGGGGGGCAAAATGTAAGCAGGAGGGGGTTACTTTCCATACTTTTTATATTTGTTTTTCATAATAACTATGCTGTTTTTCACAAAAGCCACAAACAAATGTTACACCACAAAATAGTATCTGAAAGGAAAATAATAACATGCAGTGTTGTCAAATAGACCCCATACGTGATATTAGTCCACTCTCTTCCCCCTAATAGTGATATAAGTCCCCCTCTTTAGCCCTTCATATTTCGGAATTGCCCTCCAGCTTAACTTAACTGTATGTCCTATCATGACGGCATAGCCCCAAGGTAATTATATAGAGAAATAAAAGTTATCTGTGGTAGCCACCAAAGGCCAACATTGGCACCCATCTTTTTAGACACAAATACATTAATATCTTACAAAACAGTTTTATTTTAACCTTAGTACATGTTATCGCCTCATGAAAGGATGCTTTTAAAAACTGTAGAAGTGATTAAAGTAATACTTTAGTAAAAGTAGACCGTGTAAATAAAGGCCGAACCACGAATGAATTATATTGGTAAATTCTGTCATACAAGAAACATGTATGTTGTACTCAATGGAAATCCATTCACTTGTCTATTTATTTCATCTATAATGTATCTTAATTAATAAAAATGTTACTGTTATTGTTACACCATATTCTAAATATTGTGAATAGAGCGGATTTTTGTGACCAGTCGTCAATCATCGTTTTATTGTTCTCTTACAGTGTAAAACATATCATTATACTTATTATTTGGTTCTTGACACCATGCGTAACACAACAATGATATTACACTGAAATCCAATATAAAGAAAACAAATTGTTTGTTCTTTATGCATACGTAATGCATTGCATTGTAGTATAAGAGCAAAGTATGTACAGGCTGAGAACAGGAAACATTTTTCACAGATATTGGGTAAAAGATATATATATAATTTGACCCACTTGCATTAGTCCTATCCCCCAATCCCTACAAGCCAAGTCAGGGTCGTAATTTTCACATCAATCAGGCAATCCACGATAATAATTCCAACGAAATTTACAAAAAAACGTTATTGACTTGTATACACTTTATACACTATAGTAAACATGCCCCTCCCCAAGGGGAATGGTTAATAATGAGTAAGGAAATTCATTTTTGAGAAGAACCTTAGGTAGGAGCATAAGAAGTTTTGTTTGATTCTAGCATAAGTACGAAAGCGGTTGATACAATTTTCCCTTTTGGACCCTGTCCCGAAAGCCCCAAGTGTGAGTTAGGTTATAATTCTCGCACTGTCAATATGTCAATCAATAACAATGATTCTTGATTCTTACCTACTCTATGTCCTATTGGGAATAAACAGAATATGTTGGTGTAACTTCCCTATATAAAGGAAAGTAAGTTTTCCCCTTCCCTTATGGAATGGGTAATTTATGGATTTTGAGATTAAAAGTTTTTGATAAAATTGCATCCATGAAAAGTGTTCTAGCATATTTGGAGCTGAAAAGGATGACTGTTGATAATTTGGTATATTTGATCATTTTGAGCCCCATACAAGGCCCCGGGGTCTAGATTCAAATAATTCACAATTTTGGTCAGCTATATAATCTTCCTGTAAGTTTCATTGAACTGGTTTTGGAAAAGAAGTAATGGCCGCATTGAAATTATCAACTGGTAGATAAGGTGAGCGGAGATATTGTCCAATTCATCGTTCAGTATTTGAACAAGCTCCTGCAAGGTGGACTGCTGATTTTGCCGTTACCTAATGATTCGCCCGATATTTTCCTTAACGTAATATATGGGTGACGTAGCGGGTGATTTAGATGTCCAAAAAATACATTAATATTAATTTGCAGCAGCAAAGTTCTGCAGTTGATTAGTATGTGCTTGCAAGTTATCTTATTGAAAAACAGAGCCAGCGCCATGATGTCATAAGAATAGGAGTATATCCGGCCTCATACTTTCGCACTATATTCGAAGTTCAATGACCTACCGCAGGCTGTGTACGGTTGACACCAGAACACCGCTCCCGACCATCATACTTTCACCACCAAAACGGTCCCGTTTAACGATGAAATAGTTCGCAAAGAGTTCATCTAAAAGTTTCGAGACTCTACTCCTATTTCCAACATGTAACAAGCATAATCTGAACCGATCCGTGAAACGAACAATGTTCCACTGGTGTAGCTCCCAACAACTGTGTACCACTGTCCTATTGAAGTTGCTGATACATTGTCGTTGTGTCATATTTCATACAAACGCATAACATGACGGTTCATTCAACATGAAGTTCAAAATCAAAACTCGGATATATCAATAGACACTCATCCATCCTTCATTTATTACTATTTATCTCCTTTCTTAAGTCTCTTTCTATCATTTTCTTTCGTTCTCTAAAATTACTACAAAAACTACACTTCAATACCTGTACGTTTGGCGTGGATAACTGAAAACCCCTCGGCAATCTGCGGACAATATTTAAACATTTTAGCAAAATAATATATATATATAGGAATAATAATATAACCCTGCATTATTCAGCATTCATGCTATGCCTGACTGACAACTAAACTGATGATAACGATATTCATTATCGTTTCCTATTTGCATGCAATTTCATTTTAGTCTCACTTCCTATGTGTTAGCTAGTACATCAGCTATTTTCCATCAGTTTAAGGTGATACATGGAATGTGTTTAAAAAGATATACCACAGGAGCGAAATGATATCCGTTCGTCAAATTCAATGTGACAAAATCAATGACCCAGATTCAAGATTTCACAAATTGTCGTCCATTCAATTGTTGTGATGCATTCTTGTAACAACATTTTCAAAAAAGTTATGATGAAACGTTAAAATTACAATCTACATCTGAAACTACTCAGGATTAGCAAATTATTTCTTCAATATGTGGCAACATACTGTACTTCTTTAAGCATACCCAGGAGTGCCTTATTATTGTTTTTTGTTTGTTCTGTAAATCTGTATAGGGTTGCCTTCCTCTGACCATATCCTAGATCTTCATCAACAAATTCATATTTAAAAAAAAAAAACTTCATTATTTCCATGATACATATGTATAATAAATATGTGAATACTAGTGCTCAATTTTTGGTATCTAAACTGAAAATAAGGGCTTTAACTATTGTAGAGGACGAGACCGATCTTGAAATGCTTTTTCAAGATTCACAGGCATAATTATATTAGTAATTGATGTAAAAAAAAAATAGCAAACTGTGCTGCGGACAATCTTTGGTATCAAAAACGAGCTAAAGCATATGTTACTTCTTTCTACAGACGGATCCCTCTTTATAAATGTGACGCCACATATTTGATATATATATATATAAACGTATGGCAAATGGTACACGTGGATGAAATAGTAAGTTATGCTTGTGTTGTAGAACGATAACTAGAAAAGTATAACAAGATGAGTGAATGTAGTAATTCAGTAAGGACATAATAGTGTGAATAAAATATCCAGCAAGTAATAAATGATGCTTTAAACTGAAACAGAAACAAAAACCGGAATTATATCGAAATAGATTATTAGAATTTCTCACCCTCTTTAAAGGGATCTCAACCCAAAAGGGGCGACTCATAAGTTGCCAAACACCAGGCTTTACCGGGTGTTTGTCAACTGAAGAATCTTTCCGCGAAGGTTGAGATTCCCAATCTCACATCAAGGGGGTGAATATTTTGTATTCTCTTACCCTGTTCACCCATTGTGTATCATATACATAATACTATTTAACGATACAGGATTGACGTGACGTTGATGCATTATTGACGTGACGTTATACATTTGTTATAAATAGGAGAATCCGCCTGTTCAACACTAGATTGAGACAAGGATATCTCACACCGGGGAAAGTGAGGATTCACTTGTCCAGGGTTAAAGAAAAGCTAATCCATTTCGAATTAACATTATAGTAAGATAAAAAGAGGCCTATGTACCTTTATAGATCACCTGGTATTTTATTTTCAATTTGAAACCAGCTGAGTACCATAGAGGTTTGTCAAAGGAGAACAAGAAGAACAAGTTGCATTAAGAACTACATATACATCGGTTTGGGAGAGTAAGAAACCAAAAACAAGAGTTCCCGTGTTATGTCACAGGGAAGTAGTCTCCAGGGGTTGATCTGTACCTCTGCCCCCCCCCCCCCCCCCTTT